GCCTTTATCCGGAAACGTTAGCTCTAAGAACTAGCATTTCAAATGGTACTTTACAGAGTCACAGTGTCTTTCTTGCTGAGACCACACATACTCACACCTCCCGGTAAAAAGGCAGCGCTGCACCCTGTGGACACATACTGCTCACCATGGGAGCAGGCAGAGCACCACAAGGCCCACTCTCTATGATATTGCAAACGTCAGGGCAATCGGGAGGTTCTCGATGACTGTAAACAGGCAAACATCTTGCTCACCTTCAGGGAGGATTCAGGGAACTACCAACTGGGCAGCCTGCCCTTGGTCCCAGAGGTTAGGGCAGATCCTCCCTGAATCCACACCTGGGCACTTGTAGGAGGTGGTGACTGGGAACAGCCAGCACGGGTCTACAAATGTCAAGTCACATCTGCCCAGCCTGATTCCCTCCAGGAAGAGGATTCTGATTGCATCGATAAGCCAGGGACAAGCTACCAGACATGGCAGGGAGGAGCAGGGGGAAGAAAAGGAAAGCAAGCAGTCAGTACTAGACAACCAGTACTGTATGGGCTGGACACATGGACTGATAGAAACCTCCTTACATTCAACAAAGGCAAATGTGAAGTTCTTCATCTTAGCAGAAATAACCCCATGCAACAGTATGGGTTGGGGGCTAATTCGTTAGAAAGCTTTACAGAGTAAGACCCATGCACCCTGTGGGCAGGTTGAACGTCAGTCAGCAGTGCGACCTTGCAGGGTCAACAACCAGCCACATACCAGGCTCTGTCAGAGCAGCAAGGAGTTCCAAGAAAGCGAGCCACCTTCTGCTTTCAGCACGTGTGCATGTGGAGTACCAGGTCCTATTTAGAGTTCCCTAGCACAAGAAAGCCACTGACATAGTGAAGCAGGTGACCAGCAGACAGCTGCCAAGGTGGTCCAGGAGGGGGAGCACACGCCACTCCCTGGAGATGATGAGAGAACCGGGTTTGGTTGGCCTTAAGAGAGTCTAAGAATCTGAAGCATGTCAAATTCTGACAGCAACACATTGCAATATCACCCTGTTAGAAAACACAGTGTAAACAGGGAAAAAAATCCGCAAGGAAAAATAAGATTTAAAAGTGACACACTGAAACAAAAGTATGCTACACATACATTTAGATGAGAAGCTGATTTATAGGAAGCTTCTGCATCTTCTGTTGGATTAAAGAGTTGCAATGTCAGGGTGCCCTCAACCTCTCATTTGCTGTCATTACTGTTGGCATTCTGTTCCTTCTAGGGCCATAATGCAGAGAATCAAATCTGAAATGAGATATACTATCCCCATTTTTAAGTCATTTTTACCCTTTCCTCCCAGGTAAATACATTTAAGTTTGCTGGCCACCAGATAACACAGAAGTACTGTACTGTAAAAGCTTGAAGCTACTACCTTTTTGTTCTAAACAGAGATGCTTGACATAATTACAGCAAGACATTAAGAAATAGGGCTTAATATTTAGAATTAAACATTATGTTTACTGTTCTACCTAATCATGTTCCATACTCAGCTACTCCAAAAATTTCACTTACTGATATGACCTGAAATACATAATTCTTTCAGTGTGAAGCCACAGTACTGAAGCAGTACAGCACACCCTTTAAGAAATCCCTTAACATTCCTAACTGGTATTTTAAAATGACATTATCTCCACTAGCTGTTGCTTCCTTAGAACACTGCCTTCATTCAACAAGAAGGAAGTTGCTGGATTGTAATGACATGCATCATTGCAGCCAAACTAGTATCCGGTAGGACTAGGCTAGTCCTCAAGCTGTTCTTGTCAGCCTACTTTATTTGGAAACCTGACATATTCTTTGGTCTAGCCATTGCCTTGTTGTACAGTTTGAGAGTGAATACCTTTAAAGAAAGTCAGGCACAGCAAAGTTTCAAGAACTTTCTTTTTTCTACTATCTTGCCTTAGGGACAGAGCTTTTAAATGGGACATTCTGATGCAGCTACCTGGCATCACCATAGCCAATTTATTTTTTTATTTTCTTTAATAACTGTAAGAAAGGCAGGAAGAGCAAACTTTCATCATTAATATAGTAACATCCAAGTCATTGTGTGCAAACATTGTAGGTTTTGTTCTTAAAAACTGAAGTTAGTTGGAAGTTTCCATTGTGATCAGCAATGAAAAAATGTAGTTTATATTTCCATTAATATGAAAACACTCCTGAAGAAGACAGCTTCTGGAACTGCACATAGTCAGATACACTACAGGTGCAGAAGTCTACTTAGCAGCTGAAAGAATGTTAGCAAGAAAATGTGAGTTTGTAAAGTAGCATGAAGAAGAGAGGACAAAAAGAGCAGGAATTGCTTTCTGCTAGAATGGTACATTGAACTCATGAGAGCAGCTGCCATGACAATCGCCTTCAGCAGCTCATACAGGAATTCTGTCACATGCTCCAGTAGCAGTGTGGCCATATCTCTGAACAAGATCACTAGCAGGGTCAGTTGGGGTTGCAGCCTGTTCTCTGAATTCAGCCTGTAAGAACCCTAATTACCTGAAGGACTGCGACATGCACCACTGCTTGACACACTGAGGCAATATACACACGCAATGCACACACACAGCACAAAAGCGTTAATACTGGTAATAGGCAAGTTGGTTCCCAAAGCCAATAAAGCGGCTAAAGCATGCACCTGGTACACACAGCCACATATGCCATTTTCTGTTTGATGTACTGCTCTTAATTAAGCATGCTTTCTCAAAATCACTTTATTTCATTGCTTTTCTTGTCTGAAAAATCTACACAATACTCTTCATTAATTCTGAATGCTTAAACAGAGATCTGGACTTATTATACACCAGAAAAGTGCACTGAAATATCTGCAGAGCAGTCAAGCTCTAAACATCTAGCAGTACTGAGATTTACCTTCTTGCTTGCACTGGAGAACCAGCACAGGAGTAGCCTTCCAGAAAGAACATTCCAATAATGAATACAAGGACAACGGGTGGAGGGAGTAGGGGTGCGGGGGGAAGGAAAAAAAAAATGGAAAAGTCAGACAAGTAATTGTGCCTATAAGGCAGGGTAGGGGGGAACAGGGCAGGGACAGGAAGATGACAAGACGCATGAACTTCATTTAGCAGAGACGACTAATTTGATACTTAATTAGATTCTGCTTAAGCACTTTGAATGACATTCCTCTTGCTTTTCACAAGTAGAATAAAATCAGTGGATTCTATGTTTAGCTTGAACTTCAGTTACTCCTATATTTCTACATGGTAAGACCAAAACTTCAAAGGAAGCTTCCATGACTCATCATAAAATAAATGTTTCCATAAAACTGCACTACATGTTTACAGTCAGCTGTATTACTTTTACAAGGATTACATAAGATGAAGCTTGGTCAACTTCCTACCAACAATTTTTTGAAACTATAACTAAAGACCCAGCAGTACAGGTTCCACACAAAAGCTTTTGCTGTTACAGTTCTAAACGATGCACGATTCCCAACAGCCTCAGCAAATAAACCCAAAGATGACTCATGGGGTTATGGTTTGCTCAGGTTTTCTTCAGAGTGGGGATGAAAAGGGGAGGAGAGGAAGGAAAGGGACACAGGAATTTATGCATTTCTAAACTAAAATAAAGCTTAGAAAAGCTCATGCCCTGAGCCTGAAAAATCTCAAGATTTCCCCTCCTCCACTTTTACCTTACTTAGCAAATTACCTCACTTAGCAAATTACCGCGAGTTTTCCTTAGGTCACTTGGGGTCTCAAAGGATGCATCTCAACTGGGGATGGGGCAGTAGGGCAATACTGACAGCATCTCACAGAAATTCCCAACAGTCTAACACATTGCTCAGAGAAAGAAAAGGCTCTCAAAACAGGTACTGACAGTCCAATTGAAAAAAAAAAAAAAAATCCCTCTCCCAGCTACCAGCTTTATATTCTTTGCAAACACTATCAACAATGTGCAGACTTCTGTCATTGGTCCCCTACCTCTGGCAGAACTTTAATTCTTCTAATTTCAAAGGAAAAAGAAAAAGAAAAAAAGAAGGGGAAAGGTTGGAAAGAAGGGAAAGGCTGGAAAGAAGGAAAAGCAGGAACACAAAAATCACAATCAATTTCTGATGCTCCATACACCCAGCAAGGTGTATATTTTTCTTTAATACTTTAATATCTTTCTTTTTGTACATTCTAAAAGCAGAAATTTAAAAAATAATCAAAATTAAGACCAACATTAAATATACATATGCAACAGGTTTGTAGCACCAGCATCAGACTACTCTATGAAAAGGTCAGACAAGCAATCAGAGTTAATGAATAAGGTTACCTGTGGGTTCAAAACTATTAGGAATGATTAACATTAACATGACAAAAAATATTTTCCCCATACATTATAATAATTTTCTGTTAATAAAAGATTAAAAAAATATTTGTCACTTTTTAGATTTTTTGAAAATATACAGCTTTTTATCTCATTTATGTATAGGGCTGTTCCCCACTGCTACTTGACCATTGAGAAGAAAATCTTTCATTTCCCTAAAAACACACTGCATATGTATTCAAGTTTTCAGGTTGACATAGTCAGAAGTGACTGCATTTAAGCAATAATTCTTTGTTGAAATTTACTCAACCGCTTTCCTCCAAGAAAAGACTTATAGTCTCCTATAGCTACCTTTTAAAAATCACGTAAATAATGATCCTTGAAAAAGTATAACAAGATGGTTTGCTCGTTGTTATCCATTTCTTCACAAGTTCTGCTACTCCAGATCACCAGTCAAGGACACAGAGGATTTTGCAAAATGAAAATGATAGATGAACACTTTAAATCAAGACAGAAATATTTGAAAGCTTATTTCAATGCTATCATCATAAGAAACAAACTGCTAAGTTTTGCTCCAACAAGTCATCTCTTCTCTCACTTTTCTATTAATCTTCCTGATAAGAGAAAAGGCATACCGCTTAACTTTAAAATTTAACTTTCAGCAGTCCTTCAGGGGAAGTCTGTCTTAAACGCTTCCTAATATACAGTCTGCAAGTTTGCACACATTATTTATTCAAACGTTTCTTCAACTGTTCTAGATGCCTTGCATCAGCATCCTGGAGAACTAATACACTGGCTTTAGACTGAAGTGGATTAAACTCTATAGTCATCAAACAACAGAGATCTATCAGTTGTTTTTGACACTTCTCTAAACCATCCTTAAGCTTCAGATGTAAAGCTGGATCCTTTCTCATCCTATTCATTTCGGGTACTGAAAAACCAATCAAACTTGTTAGAATATCATCAGCAAAATCTACTTCAAGATAACCTGAACCATCAGAAATTTTTGCCTTTATACCCCAGGACCCATTGCTGCTTGTGAGATTTCCAGTGAGAGTAACAATAAAACACTTAACTTTCACAATTGTAACAGTTTCTGTTTTTTTTGCAAGGAGAATTGAAATATATGTAAAAGGTGGAGAATCTAAAGCTAAATGAGTTTCTACTGCTCTGCAAGGAAAGTTCTGTGAATCATGCTTCTGCTGATCTGCTTCTGAGGAAAATACAGGATCATTATTTAACATCCTGCTGTCAGAAGTCTGCTGGGATTTACATCTGCTCTCGTCTATGTCTGTATCATTCTGCCTCTCTTCAGGAGGATTTTCCAAACAAAAATCTGCAGAACTGCAGGGCTGTACACTCTTGTGCTGTGAAAAGCTACCAGTACTATTTCCAGCTCCATCAAATACTGTTCTTCCAAAAGTCTTTTGCTTGCTGGTAGCTTCTACAGGCTTATCTCTCTCATTCACGTAATCTTTTTTACAAGTCCCAATTAAAGATGAATTGCAGGAGGTTCTAGATATAAGTGGAACTCTCTCAGTGACTAAACCTGTGTTTCTGTTCATCACCACTGGCGGCACTTCTTCCAGCTCTCTTTCCATCTCTTCTTCCAGAAGAAAGTCCTCTTCTAAAGGAAAGTCATTTAAGAAGCCATCAGCAGATTCTATGGGAGGCGAAACTTGCTGCTCAGAATGAGGCAAAGGACTTCCAGATTCCCACAGCAAAACGGGATTGTGTGCAGTCAGTGAACCTGAGGCTGTACTAACACTGTTGCTTCTACTGCAGTATCCGCTTTCTAAAAATATTCTGTTGTTTAAAGTAAATTCATTATTTCCATCAAGACTGGCTAAAAGCTCTTCATCTGAAGGGCCTACAGTTTGTTCTAATTCATCCACAGGCCTTGAAACAATTTGGTTGTGACCAGCTTGTCCAACAGAATTAGGGTTTTCGGTTTCTCCAATTAATCTAGCAAGGACTCTTTCCTGAGAATATTCCTCCAGAAGAACATCTACTTCACCCCCCAATAGTTTCACATTTTCTGGTTTAAGCAGAAGGACTCCAAGACGATACGCAATATTACCCTGTACAGTGATTTTTGTACCAGGAGGAAGATTACTGTGGAGGACAGGCACTGGTTGATACTCCATGCCCTGAATTTGATGTATCCCATCAGTTAGTTGCAGCATCAGCATTCGAGTAGGCTTTGCTTCCCAGGGCTTCTGGAATGTCTGAGTACTGGCTGTTACTTCTTCATTTACAGTATTTTTCCCTTTTAGCTTCTGAAACTGGGAATATGCTGGCTGACTAACATCAACCAGTGAATCAATCTGTATGGAGTAGAACCCTGACAACTCTCCTTTGGGAGCATCTAAGATGCAGTCAGGCAAAATGGGATATTCCAAATCTCTTAGATCAGTGAGAAGCCATTGCTCAAATACCTGCCTGTTAATCTGAGCTTGACTTAAGTTACTACTGCTGTTTTCCTCCTGGATCCAGCTAATACATGCTTCCAGCCATGCCAAAGGAACTTTAACATGCCATGTGGATGAAAGCCAAGTTTCCACTCTTGCTGCAATGTTAGATGTAGACATTTTCTTTTAGGTTAAGAGAGTTAATTCCCTACAAAAAAAAAAAAAAAAAAAAAAAAAAGACATTTACTCTTCTGACAATAGCTAAATTTATGACATGTCTCTTGCTCATATTATATAGAAATTTGCTCTCAATTCATAGTTCAGCTATTTTAAGTGTGACAACATGTGAGCAATTTAAATTAAAAACACTTCTACAGATAGAGATAAATACGGATTTTCAATATTCAAAGTTTCAATTGGCATAAAAAGTATGTGCAGTTTACTCATAACGGAGTATTAGGAAAGTATGGAGACTTTACAAGCAGTCATCTGCTTGGTGACTTCTCCTCTTCTGTTGATTTAATTAGAAACATACAACTGAAAGCCTTTTGTTATAGATGGAAAGTAAATGGACTAAAAAAAAACAGCAGCAGGTTGTTATATATATGTCTTCTATTTTTTTGTTGTTGTTGTTTTATTTCTGTGGGTGCTGCTGTTAATACCCAGTTCACTGTAGAAACTGACTTGTGAAGTTATTCTCCCTTTTCATCAGCACTGCTATAAAAAGAAGAGACCCCCATCTACAACTGAAACAAGCTGGCCTCTGTGAGCAATTGTATCATTGGGTGACTTTTACACTGTAACTGGATGAAAACTTTGTACCCAATAACAGAAAGCCAGCTTGAAATACCATTGTCATCTAGAGACCCAGTCCAGGGTTTGGCTGCAATAGCACCAAGTCTTGTCAGTCATGATCTCAGGAACATCAGTGGCTAATAAGCTCTGGCTTCTTAATAGTTTAGAAGGTAGCTATGCACAAAGAGAACAGAACAGAGTAGAACACAGTAGTTCAGTTGGAATAGACCTACAACAATCATCTAGTCCAACTGCGTGACCACTTCAGGGCTGACCAAAAGTTAAATAATGTTATAATCATTGCCCAGTGCTCCAGTCTCTCCAGGTCCCTCTGCAAGGCCTCTTGTCCCTCGAATCAGCAGCACCTCCCAGTTTGGTCCCATCAGCAAAGCTGCTAACGGTGCATTCAACTCCTGCATCCAGACCGTTGATCCAAACATTGACGACATAGTAGGCGGCATAGCTGTGTCTGGATCCTCTTTAACTCCTTAGAAAGGATGACCAAGGAGCTAAACCTCCCTACAGAGTGCAGCGAAAGCAAAAATTATCATAATTCAGAAACACCAGGTGTGGGTTTCCTTGCCACCACAACCTGCAGCGAAGAAAACCCACCCTGTCTCCGAGTCCTCCCCAAAGCTCCACCGCTCTGAGGACACCCTACAGTTACCTAACCGAAGCACCAGCGCTGCTTCGCGGGACGGGGCCCTGACGGGGGCTGAGAGCAAGGGGGGGCGAAGCGGGGAGGTGCAGCAGCCCACAGCCCCTCAGAGGGGCTGGGCCACCCGCACTTACCGGGACAAGCAGGCGGTACCGGCGGGGCG